GTTTGTATGGTTTAAACTTAAGTATAACTTGTAAATTTGAATTATGGATACATTATACAATATACATTGATAATATATATGTATGTAGTATAGTAGTAGTATCTCAAGTATCTGATATCTARTGGTCTCAGTCCTCAGAATTTATATTATATAGTTATATTTATAATAGTTTGCAACCGAAGGTTCTGATCTAAAGGTTAACGTRGGTAATCTCCGACACTCATTTCAAAGGTTATGTGTAAAACAAACGACGCCCTTGTGTTTTATGCATTACTGTTGGGTAGTGGAACTTACATTTTTATATTTTTTTTCTGAAGGGGTAGAATTATTATTTTATTTTACCTTTATTATTATATACGTGTGCCACTTCGATTTAAGGAACAGATTGGATATAAAAAAATTACTGAGAAAATCTACTCTTGAAGGTACCATACAAATACTATATATTAAATATTATAATAGAAAATCTTCTTTTCAACTCTAATTTATGTTTCAGAGTACTACATTTCTTTAATACTTTAGCTTGCAGTATTTCCTTTCTTATTTAATTAAGGGTTTGTCATATCATATGGCTTTATAAAATTACGTATACGATATATAAGCCACTAGATATATTATTATTATTTAAAATTGAACAAAACAATTAAGTAGGTATAAAAGTTGAGTATGCGACATATGAAGCAATAWGAGGTTGATTTTTAAATTAAAATATTGTACATTATTCTCTGAGAACTACAAATGTTAAATTTACTTAGCTTATTAGTTTAATTCAAAATAGATAATGAGATCTGGTTTTAAAAAAAAATTTTGCTGTAATACCTAATCTTGATTAACCATTCACCTATCTGACATTTCTRAATTTAGATTGCAATCAATAATTTTTACTTACTATACTGATCAGCATTTACAATATTTAGATCCCCAAAATTAACCTGGAATTAATMTATGCGTAATTTACAAGCRCCTTGTGAAAATAGCCTTTTTGTAATGACTCATTATTAGTTTTTTACCTAAGTAAAATGTTTTGGGGAATTCAGCAGCACCACCCCCTTAAATTTTATATGTTAAAGGATAGGCCTCTCAGTATAGGCAATTCGTAGTACATGCACCTCCCAAACTTGTATTAATTACTCAATATAGGCAACACACATTAACCTAWATTAATCATGAATTCATGACTGTCGGGTACGTGCGCGACATAATATTATTACAGTTTTCCCGTTATCACTTATCATGTTATCAGTTATCATATACATTTTATCAAACAATCCCAACTCCTCCTCCTCCTATTAACGCAGTGGAAATAACTAAAATAACTGACCAGGAATCGAGCCTCAACCTCAACCCGCCGCCGACGATATAACAACAACACACACACACACACACACAAGCGTACAAAATATAGATCATCACCTAAATATATACATAATATTTACTTAAATACAATACATACCCCACATCATACGCATATTATATTATTATACAATTTACATTTATACTTACATAGCAATAAGGTAGATCGTTAAAGCTAGGTACATATAGTTTTGCCTAAACACATAAATATCATGACCATTAATTTATAGGCAACAAGCAGATGCATATGCACGATACCATATAGTACCTACACATTAGTTTTCCATTTAGTACATTATAGGTAGTTAACCAGTCCTTTGTTCGTTCATGGCACACACAAATTCGCACATTTAAACACTCCATTCTATCCCTACCACCCTTGCTCACGCCTTTATCTCACTAATCGTCTGTTCGACTACACACCTGTAGAGACATGTCCGAATATTGTTGGGGATTACCAGCAAGAAATTAGTGAATTAAGTAAAACAAAATCAGTCCGTGCACTACCGTCTTTGGCTATTATCGTGCCAATTCCGTGTTCTAAAGTGTATACWAATATTTTATAAAAATTCAACTATTTATTTTACTCTAGCTAACACCATCGTTTGGTTTTCTACTGATATTTCTAGTATTGTGCGCATACGCTAATAAATCGCTTAAATAAAATCATTTCACACTGATATTTAATGAACAATATATTTCACTATATTTCATTACCYATCTATTCGTTGAATGATAAAGTCTTGTTTCGCGAGTTCAACTAGTATTCTTCAGTTTTCATTAAACGCAATCATGTTCTCGTGTAGTATTTGTGATAAGACATTTACTAGGATCGGTAGTCTACACAGACATACCAAGTCACACGATGTATCCAATACGATTTCAYGMAGTTTATGCTCAGAAATATTCACACGAAGAGATAACCTCATAAGACAAAGCAAAGAAAAACATGGTAAGTAATTTTTAATTACATTCAGATTTATTAGATAAACTATAATATATATATATACGATATACCTAATCACTGGTGTACCATATTATTACGGACGACTTTTACCAGGACTTAGCAAATAACGCTAACTTGCTAGACAAGATAGATACAGCAAATCTCCCGAAAGACGATCCGTGCTACATTCCTGACCGTAAGAAGATCCTGGAAAATCATATATTATTAAATAATAACATTATATCATTAGGTAYCTTTTTCGATCAATCAGCAGCGTATCATAGTCATGAAGTAGTTCGAGCCTCATTGAAGTATGTTTCAACATCGCATCAAAAGAGAAGCCTGGACAAGTGTAGTAGATGCTGGGTCTAGGGCGTATGTTGCCAAACAAAGGTCTCGGAAGTTTTCAAACACATCAGTTAACAGCATTACGTCGATTTTAAGATATAGGTTCGAATTCTCCCAAGTTTTTACATTTGAAATGGTTCCATACTGTGATTGCGTGTTCGTATTCATTATCGCATATATGTTCTTCAGTCAACTTACTATAAAAATCTGCTTTCTTCGGCAAAYGGGTCTCTTCCAACTTGCTCCAACTATCGGTAAACTCGTAGAGATATACACMTTTACGTGTGACAAGGTTCATATCATTATGTTTGAATGCTTTTGTGGTTTCTCTGAACTTCTCAATCTCGGGCGTTATTAAATTTTTGGCTAACGTCGATAAGCTGGAGGCCATAAATCTAAATGCATCTATAAATCTTATTGTGAAAGAGTTGTTGATATATTTCGAAAACGAAATAAATTTCTCCTCGCTGTTTGGTATTACAGAAATTGTGYTYGTRTCATATCCAAKCTCAGTTACCAAAAAGTGAGCATCATAGTTGGTTAAATTGTRAAAGAAAACCGGTACAAAATTTGGTTGTTGAAGCTTGAGATTACATGAATTACATAAACTTTGTCTACATTTTCCCGATAGATGGCAATGATCAGCTACTTTATGGTTTTCTTTGGAAAATCCCTTTTTACATAAATTACATGCTTTACATAATTCATGTGTGCGTCGCTGTTCCGGTTTCATTATAATTGGTGTGTTGGTTTTGAGCGGTTTGTATATTTTTTCTGCTATTTCCACAATACTTTGTACAAAATGTTTTGCTACCTCTTTATTTTGATTACTTCCGCGGTATATAACTGGCGATGTTGGTATTTCAAATTCTTCAAGCAGTTCTTTTGGTATGTGATCATTTGCCTTTATGAAAAAACCATAACTCAAAGGCTCGTGATTTTGAATTACAGTTGTATTTTTCATTTTTTCTCGTTACATTTAACGTGAAGCGCCTCAAAGTCGGTATAAACAACTATGGGGTGGCGTTGTGTTTTGTTCCATGCACTAAAYTCCAACATTGAACCRGGCTCAGGCATCWGAGGTRRRATWGGTTTATGCGATCCGCATATCAATTTATGCTGATCAAGTGCTGCTTGCCCACATAGCTTATTTTTCAAAGGTCGATTATCATAGGATGTGAAGCAACGTTTRCAAAATACAACAGAGTCGTTATGTCCAGTTTTTTGTGATATAATAAGCCGGGAAAAATTAGAGATGTAGGTGTAGTGGCTTTTATCGCCGTTAGTAATTAATAGTATATCGAAATGATCTTTTTCCTTGAATRAATTTTTTAATGAATTTCTTCATCCACAACTTTAAGTAGGAGAATAATATGTTTTTTATTCTTTTCTTTTTTTAATCTAAATACATTGACAGACGTGTTCAGGTTATTTTTTTCAAATGCTTTTATTCCCCTCACAGGTGTTGGGAATGTTAAACCATCGAAATTAAATTTATCTTCGAGCGATGTATAATTTTCAACCACTTGATTTTTGACCTTGCCCAAAACGTATCTTGCTAAGATTGCCCACTAACCCACTTGTAGCACTGTTGATCTGAGTTTCGGGGATTGATGACTGCCTTTTTATTCTTAATGTAATTTGGTAACAGGATTTAGTATGAGCCACCCATTGGTGTGTAATTGTATACTCCTAATAATAAGCCGTCTATGGATTCCAAAGTAAAGCCACTTCCTTTAGATGTATAAACATCCTCTTCAGCCAATAATTTTATGAACGCTTGTTCTACTATTGAGTCGATAGGTGGATATAATGGATCCGTATCCATAAAAATTTCCTTAGCTGAAGTTTTAAACGCACGGTTCTCAGCTGAATTCTCTAGGTTTGGTCGGCTGTACGTTGCTTCCAGTTTCAGGTTGAATTTAATTGGGTGTTTTGTCGATGATGATTTAAGTCTTTTTTTGATGATACTAAAAATGCGCTGAAGTTATTCAAATTATCTGTATTTTTCTTATAAAACCAAATGATTTTATTAGAGAGCGATGATCCAGTCTTAACAAAACCGGGGGTTTTAACGATGGTCATGCGTGTTTTTTTAGCATTTACTGCTTCGTTCGAATTTTCCKCATGTACAYGCTTAAGATCATTGCGATTTGAAGCCGAAGGAACTGAAATAAAATAAATAATTTACTATTGTATTGATAAACATTATAGAAAATATGTGTGTAAAGATAAAATGGT